AGTTCACTTGTCAGTGACTTCATGGACTTGTGCCATGTTTTGGTTTGGCCGCCCCTAGCTTTCTTCCAACCTACTCCTATACCACTGAACATAGCACGTCGAGGCAGTCGGTCGTTGGGCATACGTAACACGTGTCCCAGCCATCTCAACTGATGAAGTTTCACTACTTCATCAATTGATTTGCCATCCTTACCTAGTACCCGTTTCCTAACAACTGTGTTACTTACTCGATGGTCCCAGCCCTGACGAACACCACTTGAGGTAATCAATTCTGATGACAGTTCGCCATAAGCTCTCACTCGACCAGTTGTGTTCGAGTAGAGAGCCTTTATAAGGTTAATGTACTTCTTTGGTACTCCTTTCAGTGACAAACACTGCCATAGAACCTCACGATCAACAGAGTCGAATGCCGCCTTAAGGTCGAGAAATACTACCATTGTGGGGCGTCTGAATGTGTGTCTGTGTTCTAGAACCTGACGTAGTGTGAATATCTGATCTATACAACCACGTCCAGGTCGAAAACCAGCCTGGTTTTCTCTAGTCTGCTCTTCACGAGCTTTAGTTAGGCGTCGAAGTATTATTGAAGCTAATATTTTAGACACTATATTAGTCAAACTGATTCCTCTGTGATTGTCACAAGAGGACTTTTGTCCTTTCTTATAGACTGGCACAATCAGTGATTGAGACCAGTCAGATGGGATTACGTCCAGTTCCCAAATTCTACCTAAGACCTCAGTTAATCTCATTGCTAATACTGGACCACCATCCTTAAAAATCTCAGGAGTAAACCTGTCAGGGCCTGCTGCTCTCCCTCGTTTCAGATTTCCTATGGCTTTTTCAACTTCGTAAAGGGACGGAGGACCTACATTAACTTGCCATTCAGGTTGACTGGAGATCGTGGGAAACCGAAGTGTGGCTGAAGGCCAGTTGAACTGATCCCTAAAGTGTTCTGCCCATCGATCCAATCTCCTGGATTGAGAATGAATAATATGTCCATCTTTCTCTGAGATTGTTTCGCTAACAGTCGGTTTCCTTAACGAGTCTGAACAATTGTCTGCTATTACCTATTGCCGCTGCCTTTTCCATCTCTCTTGCTTTCGCTACCCACCACTGTTCGCGATCATTGCGTAGACTTCTTGTCAGCTTGCGCTTAAGCTGACTCCGCTCTTCATTATGTTCAGAGCCGGGTGGAATGAGTTTCCGAGCATCTATCAGTGCGATAGATGCTGCTGAGATCCAGTGTTGCTCCCTAACCTTCTGGTTTACCTTACTAGCAGATATCACTGCTGTTTCCACAGCTTTTCGGATATCATTCCATGCTGCATCGGGGTGGGCATCACATACATGGCTGCCTAACTGTTTTCCTAGTTGTTCCTGAAATATACTCTTAGCTTGACTATCATTAAGTAGGCCCCTAAGAGGTTTCCTTGCAGCGTCTTTCCTACGTCCAGTAAGACGCAAGCAAATACGCGCTCGCACTAGAGCATGATCTGAATCTAGGCATGTGCTCCAGAATGAGCGACAGTCTTCTATCGAGCCCCTCCATCGGTGGCTGATAGCGATGTGATCTATTTGGGTCCAACGTTGGGACGAATTCGGGGGTCGCCATGTTAAAAGATGTTTTTCCTTATGCTTAAAGTTAGTATTTGCAAGGAACAGGCGGTTATCTGAGCATAGCTGCAACAGACGGTCGCCATTATCTGTTCTTTGAGCCACGACACCATAAGATCCACCTAGGTGTCTTTCCCTATCGCTTAGTTTACCTACTTGAGCATTAAAGTCACCGGCCACTATTACTACATCCGAGCGCTAGCTTTTCGGAGAAGGTCCGAAAGCTTTCTGTAAAACTCATCTTTTACATCATCTGAGCTGCAGTCAGTGGGAGAATAGGCAGAGACGACGAAGAGGCAACGACGAGTGTCCCTATCTTTCCGGATTCTTACTGTTCCGTTCAGTCGGACAGCGCACAAACGACTGTCTACTGGGATCCACTCTAAGAGAGCTAGTTCTGCCCTAGGACTCAATGCTATACCTACGCCGGCGAGGCCACGGGAAGCAGAATCAGGGCTTCCAGATACACGAAGCGTAAATCGAGTCGGTTCTTTATTTTGGCATGGTGAGGTCAAATGAATGACGCTACTTGGATCCTGTATGCGCGTTTCGGAGACGCAGCACACATCGATGGCGCGAGATTCTAAAGTTTTAGCTAAGGAAGCCTGCTGTCCTATTTGGCAAAGTGTTCGTACGTTAAAAGCTCCTACGTGTAGTTTAGAGCGTGGTTTCAGGAGACCAGGAATGGCGTTCCACGTACTCGAATCGTTTGCCCTAGCGGTGCGAGGTGATAAAGAGACGTGAGGAGGGTTAGTCATGGAGATAAGAGAGGTATTAGGAGGTGTAGGAAGGATTTGAATGTGACCACCTTGGTCTCTTGTGCTGTTACGGGTATGAGGGCTGATGTCACTTCCCGGCTGCCCACACCGTGGAAGGGTATTTCTTGAGGAACCTGAAAAGGAAATTGGATTAGTGTTGGTCTTGACGACCTGGGAGCGTGACCGCAGAGCCCAAGGGACAACTGCTTGAGGCCGGTCGCGCACGGCCTTTTTGTGGAAGGTTTTTGACGTGTTAGCTCCGTTCTTCAAAGGGCCTTACCGCCGGAGACGGAAATCCGTGAGGTAAGGTGAGGTGTGACATTTTTAGGGTCGACCTTTTCTAACCCCACCCCTCCTTGTGGGAAGGCAGCATCGCTGTCATGCTGGTTGTCCGAAGGAAACACCTTACTGCTGTCACACCCTCTACAGTCAGCAGTACGACTTCGCCCTCAGACCTTGAGTTGCTGCTTTTAGTCTTACCGTTCACCAATCGACCTGCCTGGCATGGTAGAACCTACAGGAACATATGTTCCAGCCAATATAGCTCGGTTGGGTCATCACGATAGGCAAGCCCGACCCCTCAAATGTGAAGGTTAGCGATATTATTCCAAAGGAATAATATAGAGCTTTGAGTGGTGGCTCGATGGTTAATGCGTTTGATTTTCAGGCATTAAGTCCCAGTTATAACCCCCGCTGTATCGACTTGGGTCTGGGTATCCAACTAGTGTTATTTGGCCCTCACATTCAGAGTGGTTCATATCCAAGTACCTAGTAAATGAGTTGATTTTATATTATAGGGTCGAACCAGGAAACTGAGGACCGTTGGTATGTCTGTAAGGAAGACAAACAAAAACAAAGATATTGTCCCGAAATTAATTCCCAATCAGGGGCTAAAATTTTTTTGACTGATACTTCGACTTGAAATTAGTCCACACGGGCCAGTTGATAAAAGCGAATAAAGAAATTGTTTTATACAAAATTTCAGATGGGTTTTGTGGATATATTAGTAATTTCAATGGTTAAGATCATGAGTCAGTTGAAGCTAGACCACCATGGAAAACCTGGAAGCACTGGACGGCCGTTCCGTCCTATTGTGGGACTCCTCAGCAGTGCGCACCCACGACCTCGCCCCCTGCGAGATTCGAACCCATGATCTACTGGTTTCGCGAGCGAGCACTTAACCGCTAGACCACTGGGCCGGCCGGCATCCCACGGGGTTAATGTCTAACTTCAACTAATCCACAAAATTGAGCGACACATCCACCATTGTCTTCAGTCAGTTATTATCTCACCACAGACCTGGTTGAACTCCACTGGTCACTAATTCTCACTAGAACTCCAGGATATACCCATCTGATATTGATCAACATATGCTCGATAGTGACTGGCTTCAAGAGGTATATCCTGGAGTTCTAGTGAGAATTAGTGACCAGTGGAGTTCAACCAGGTCTGTGGTGAGATAATAACTGACTGAAGACAATGGTGGATGTGTCGCTCAATTTTGTGGATTAGTTGAAGTTAGACATTAACCCCGTGGGATGCCGGCCGGCCCAGTGGTCTAGCGGTTAAGTGCTCGCTCGCGAAACCAGTAGATCATGGGTTCGAATCTCGCAGGGGGCGAGGTCGTGGGTGCGCACTGCTGAGGAGTCCCACAATAGGACGGAACGGCCGTTCAGTGCTTCCAGGTTTTCCATGGTGGTCTAGCTTCAACTGACTCATGATCTTAACCATTCAAGTTAATTATACAAAATTGTTAGGAAGATTTCTGGATGTCTCTTAACGAAAGTACTTGGAAACTACTCAACTTGAGCATTTTAACATTAAACAGGTTGAACTATATAGGACTTACTAGGTACCCAAAAGAGCTCGATTAAAAGCATGTAGACCATATGACCACAGACAGAAATGTGGAACGTGATAAACGGCATTTCGATGCAATGAAGTATTACTTACATCAACGTAGAAGTATTTGGAAGGCTTTGATAAAAGAAAATAAGCTTGGGTTTAGCCAGTTTCCTTATCTAGCAGCAACGAATAACTATTACTATGAATTGCATGGATTTATCTTGAAAAGATAGGGAGATTCAACATATACGTTGAGGTCAAGTGAATTAAGTGACAAAAACTGGTAATTATATTTTATTTTCACAGTGATAGTCAGTCAGTCATCTACAAAATAGGACCAGACAAATATATATATATATATATATATATATATATATATATATATATATATATATATATTGAACCAAGTTACCATAACTCATTAGCACAACTAAATGAACACCGTTATAGGATAAGGTGGATGAAGTTAGAAAGTAAACAGTAAACGTGACGATAAAGACCAGACAAGAATAATTATTTTCTATGTGAAATTGGAAACAGGAATAACCCCCAAAAAATCTGGATAAATCGGTAGAGAAAAGAGACTGAGGTTGATTACTAAACCCTCTTCGTATGAACAGCATGGTGTCCTAGATTATATTAGAAGTAAGAACCATATTGGTGGATTGTTGAGAAGGCATCACCGCATTCAAAAAGTGCATTGGGGTTTTAGGCACATGATTCCAAAGAGGAATGTACAAATTAAACAAATGGAATAATCCATATGTAAAAACTCATTTAACCTACTCCTCTGGATTTGTATACTGCTGGCCACCACGAAAGCCATATCTATCACATTGTAAAATGTCATCTTCAGACTGGAGTGGGCTATTTTCATGTTCATTTATGATATTATCCATCTTCGGTCAACTAGCATAGTTTTCACCAAGATCAAAAAACGCGCCAACCAATTCGTTGCCACATTTACTTCTTTTTCATACGTAATTTTACACAAATGACCACAAAAATATGTCTGATTAGTATGGATTTATAGTCTTAACATTGTGTTTGTTGATATGTCAAGGCCATGCGCTTATTATGAGTTTCCTACTAGACTCTTGCGCCCTATTTTTTTCTCAGATAGCCTTCTTTATAGGAGGATGGGTTTTCTTTCTTCGACAGCTCTTTCGTGACTATGAAGTCAAGGACTCCGTAGTAGTACTAATCTTTTCACTCACTTTTTCCTTGTCTTGTACAGTTTTCGAATTAGTAATTTTTGAAATACTAGATATTTTGGAAGCCTCTTCCAGGCGCATACATTGGCAGTTTATTCTTTTAACAACACTCTTAGATGTCATAATAATCATCCCATTTTACATATCATTTTATATCAGTAAGAGTTTACGAGTTATCCCTCCTAAAAATTCAATTAGACTTTGTTTCTCCTTTGCACTTATGACTGCATATTTATATGCCTTTTGGAAAGTGGGGACATCTTTCCCTATTTTGAGTGGAAAACATGGCATTGTATTCTTGGAGCAATGTATTGGTCGAATAGGAGTAGTTGGAGTAACTATAATGGCTTTTTTATCCGGTTTTGGTGCTGTCAACTATCCGTATTCATGTATGACTTACTTCGCCTTGTCCGTTTCAAACTCAGAAATACGCACAGCTGAGAGAAGATTGTTACAAACTGTAGATATGATTTTGGTGAAGCGTCGAAGACTAGCTCAGTTTCAATTTGAGGCAAGAATGAAAGTTAGTCCATCGCGTGTTTTTAATTTCTGTTTTGAGATTGTCTGTTTTTTTTCCTATTATGCATGTTACGCCGTAGACATATATTTTTTAACTCAATGTGCCGCTTTATTCTATTAACTTCAACACCACAGGTCAGACTGCTGCGTTCTGTTAGTCCGCAACAAAGCACGTATACCACTTTCTTTATGACTCATTTATATTTGTAAAAGAGCTGAGATACTACTTGTGCGCCCAAACGGAGACAGCTGGTTCTTTCTGGAGGCCAACTCTTGGGCAGTCCACCTGGTGATCTAATCCATAAGGCAGTGAATCAATGCCGAATGTAGCCCCATGATACTTAGACAATGGAACAGGTTTTTAATCCTAGTAGAGGTTAACACCACTGGTGAGTCCTTTGTATTCACTAGCTGGCTTAGAGTCGCAAAAGCCCACTTTTCGTTCCTTCAGTTTTGGACACATTCCCCGCCACTCCACTTCAATTGCCAGCACTTTCATGGGAAAGGCTTTAAACGCGTGTTCATATGAAGGCACTTCGGGAGGAAAAGCTGACTTCCTTCTCTCAGTCGTATTACAACATTTACGAGCACTAAAAGCAATAGTGTTAGTCAGTATAGACGTTCTTTTATACATAATGTCGTATATTTCGTTTCTCAACAAATTATTTCCGGACTCGATTCTTACACTACCTTCAGTACAAAGTTAGATAGTATCGTCATATTTCTAAAACTAATAGCCCAGGTCTTAGTGATCCGTATTTCTGAACTACTTGTTAGTGTTTAGGGTCAAATCAGTCTTAATTCACTAAAAGACCAAGTATCTTGTTAGATAATTTGTTTTATGGCAGTCACTAAAATATGAATCAGGACTAAGAAATATTTAATTGACCACAACCATTATTTTATTGTTATTTATTTGAACACATAAATATTGGTACAAGGGGACACCAAATATATATGCGCCACAATCATTAATTGCTTCGGACTGGTTACAGTAATTTCTATTCGCAGTTTTTCGTATATGTTGTGATTGCAAGTCTAAATCTTGACTCAATTTCTCAGGGATTCTTTTACCACATGTAGTAAGAAAACTGCGGTTTCGCGAATTGTATATGCTAACAGAACTTACTTTTCAAACATTGATTAAAAGTATAAAAAAGGTCATGTAGCTTTCGCACTTCTCAAATGCAGAATTTCCGCTCTGTAACAAGGAGCTATTCTAAACTGATTGGTTAGACAAAAACACTTCGTACGCCTGACATATAGGCATATCATTCAATGACTATCCATGTCGTTGACATTATTATTTGTTAGCAAAGAGTTGGGATATTTATAATATGGCTAGTGCGTAAGTTCTGTCGTACCAAGTTTACTTGGCAGTATTGTACCTATATCTTTCTACCCAACTTATTACTGTAACTCTCAGAGTCTTTATTTCATTGAGTGTTATTTTTTGCAGAACTTAGTCGTTATATAGCTTCCAGATTTTACCGCAAAATGTTTTTATGTGAATTTCAGCGTACTACCAACGAAAAATCTAACACCTTTTGGAATATGTTACGGACAGTAGGAATGTCCATTTCATCACCTCGTATTGACGAAAAATTATTGAAACATGAGGTTAGTGTTTTATTTATACACTGTTACCATATTTGAGTCATTTGTCTAGCTATTGTCTTAAAAAATTAATTTTCAGTTCCGAATCTAAATTGTATTAAGACCGATTCTTGTCTTAACATCTTTTATCTTGATAGGCACTCTTAAGTTTAAAATAATGTGACCTTTAATCACCTGTTTTTTTCCGGTTTCCAGATCATCGATTTGGATCGAGTTAAGCTCACTAGCCAAGTAAAAGTTCGTATTTTAACCCTTGTTTGTGATCCAAATATATGGCTTAATAATCGAAATTCAACTCCTGTAACCGCATTTTTATTTTATGTAATTAATGAAAAAGAACTAAGAATGTAGGAATTCGTGCAATTAAAAGGCTATATATCTATAGATTGTGACGTCAGACATACTACATTAATATATTCAGAAAGCCCCTAATAAAAAGGATATTACCTTTAAGATAAAACCTCAATAACAACCGTCCACTTTTACGAGTGTAGTTCTTCCAAGGGCTTTAAATTATAGTTATTAATTCCATGTTACGCTCCAGTCATGTTCATCCAATACAAATTCCTGCTATTTAATATTATGATAATGTTCGAAGTATGATCAAAAAATGTTTTTGCAAAGCCCAACATACTCGGAATTTATTACAGTTACAACCTAGGAAATCTTGCTAACAAAATCGACTATGGTTATTATCGTTTCCAATAGTGTGGTCATTAATGGTGAAAAAATGTGTAGTTGCTTCAAAATAAGTAGGACAGTTATTCAACCAACGTTTTACAACTTATAGAATAATAATTGAAACTACTTTTCACTACTATTAAGTTAGTTTTCCTGAACTTTTGAAAGCAAACATCAGGCATTCTGAATTTTCATCGCTTACTTACTGTTGACTGTGAAGATGACACAGGTATTCAGTGTTTGACAACGCTTTTACCAGCAACACCTAATTTAATTCGTACCCACCAAGAGAAATCAAAAGACAGAGTCGAGGAGATCGGAAGAGTGTATTTGGCGATAACCAATATATCGGAATTCTCTGGTCTAATTTGGCTAGCGATTGCGGTAGATGTTGAGCACAGCGTTACCACACGTGATCTGATGCGGATGCCTGACCGAGCGCCTTCAGCTAGATGGGTTCACTAAAACATATGGTCAGCATCCAATGTTGAAAACTTACAGAGCTATTTATTTTGGGAATTTATTTACCGCTACAACTGTATGAGCCAGGAGTTTTAACCAAACATTATCACCTAGTTATTTATTACTTTATACTCTCATTTCGACTGATGTCATTGTTATTTCTGCCAGCAGTTATACGGCAAAACATTTTAGTCTTATTAAAATTCAACTGAATACTTGTTTAGAACTCTTGTGTTGTGATACTGTATAGAATCATTTTCCTTTGTATTTAGAATTCTTAAGTTACCCTGAAAGTCTTCACTATTTCTTACGTTCGGTACGAAAATCTAACATGAGGATTATTTTTCGTATTCATCGTAAATTTCTCTTGTTTTCTTCCAAAATATATAGATATCTGTCCTTGAGGACTTAAGCCGTCAATTATTTCTGGAACTGCACTACCTCCGAACTGCCCAAGAACGTATTGAATTTTCAAAAACATGGAAAGGGAAATATTTCAATTGTCTTGGCTACTTTTTCTGTGGTTATTGCTGTTGGAAAATATTTATATCCATTGTAAATATTTTATTGAATCGATTCGGTGGACAAGATCCTATAACACGCTTTATGGGTATAACTATACATTATCTAGGCTTTCAAATTGATGTGAAATTTTGGTCACAACAAATATCTTTTTGGCTCGTCGGTATAATTGTTGTAACGTCAATTCGTGGACTCTTGATAACTTTAACAAAATTCTTTCATGCTATAGCCAGCACAAAATCATCGAATATAATTGTTTTAATCATAGCACAAATAATGGGTACTTATTTCGTTTCTTCTGTATTGCTTTTGCGTATGAATATGACTGCAGAGTATAGGAATATGTTAAATCAAGTACTTGGTGACTTACAGTTTCATTTCTATCATCGTTGGTTTGACGTAATCTTTCTTATCAGTGCTATGTGTAGTATTGCGTTTTTATACTTAGCACACAAACGAGTTGCTGAAATAAAAGATGACTATATTTCTTGACTTCATATTGTTTGTACATATCGTTCAAGACAGCCTAAATATTTTCTTATGCTACCACTAACTTGCATTCCACAGGTAATAGGTGTTATGGTAATATGAAATTATATAGACTGGTACGTTATTTCTGTCTCTTCCCATTCATCTTGTTATTTTCATCTCGTGCCTATGAGGTTTAGCAACTTGGGCCAATGCACATCTATGCGAGGCTCTACATTGTTGATGACTGAGTTCATGCACTTCATCCCTTCCATAAATTTAAATGAAGTTTTCGGGATCCTTTCTTTTAATACATATTGGAAAAACTAATGAGTAGTAATTACACGCTTAATAGTAAGCAAATATCTCTTAGAACAACCAGTTTTTTAAATCTATCTAGGCAACACTATAAGTTT